ATATCTCACGCGCTTGAGCGCCGCTCAGCATCTCGCCGTCCAGCATCTCGCCGTCGTAGATGAGCTTTGGCATGTTTGGCAGAGCGCCTTGAGCGCCGTGTACAACCAGTATGGATCAACCCAGGGATGTACTGGGACTGAAATTCAGCCCGGGACTAAGTCGGAGAGGCCTTTTATGCGAATGCCCTTGGTGCACGAGCAGGATTTTTTGCAGTTATTTTCATTCTAATAGTGTTTTTATGGTATAAAGACAATCAGATTACGCTAAAGACCTTCAAGAAACTTTAGGATAACACCTGCCTCCTCAGGTTCTATAAGCAAGTCACCACTGCACTGAACACAACCAGGTCAGCAAAACCTAATCTCAAACACATAAGTCACACAGTATACTGCTAACTACCATCATGTCATGTGTATAGTCAGTCGGAGTGTTAAAATAGTTACAAATACTCACACCCACTCATACTCAAAAATTACAATTCAGTTCCATACAATAGAGATTGTGTGTGTGTGTGTGTGTGTGTGTGTGTGTGTGTGTGTGTGTGTGTGTGTGTGTGTGTGTGTGTGTGTGTGTGTGTGTGTGTGTGTATGTACTCACTTTCAACTCTCCCTGCCTCAGCTTCCCCTATGCTGGACCCTGCATCTGCTTACGGATTGTACAGCTACATAACATATGCATGAGAAGAACATGAGTAATAAATATGGCAAAGAATAATACATTTTGTAATTCAATCTGTGCTTCAGTCAGGTTATTATCTAGTATGTGGAACTATCGGCATTTTATCCTATATGTAAATATGTAACATATGTAACATTGTGCTTTATTTTTCTATTTTTGTGTGCGTGTCCTTAATAAAGCTTTGATTGATTGATATGCCTAATATGATTGCCCACCCAGCCCTGCACACTGCCCCTCTACCAGTCTGTTTCCTGGATCCTGCTCTACCTCTCTTCTCCTCCTGCTGCTGCTCCTCCTCCACTCTCCTCCTGCTGCTGCTCCTCCTTTCTTCTCCTGCTCCTCTCTCCTCCTGCTGCTCCTCTTCCTCTCTTCACCACCTCTTCTCTCCTCCTGCTGCTCCTCTTCCTCTCTTCTCCTCCTTCTCTCTCCTGCTGCTCCTCTTCCTCTCTTCTCCTCCTTCTCTCTCCTCCTACTGCTCCTCTTCCTCTCTTCTCCTCCTTCTCTCTCCTGCTGCTCCTCCTTCTCTCCCTCCTCATCAATATGACTGAAGGGGTCATCATCAAACTGTCCCTCTCCATCACTGACCTTAACAGCTAATATACATACATAGACTCCTTACAGACAGATTCCTTGCTTATAGAGTTTATGTAGCCCCACCCCTTTTTAAGCGCTGCGTTGCCATGCAAAGCAGAGCGTTGCCATGGACACGCAGGATTCTAACCATAGAGACGGTGTGGTGAACAAATTAGTCCTACTGAAGAGATGAGTCCGAGCTTAGGACCCAAGCAATCGGATTGGTTCAAAGCACGTTTTATGTGTTATCGCTTTAGTGCCTGGTTACTAATCATACAAAATCAATTTATTGTTGGAATGCATTAACCATTCAAGTATTGTTCTTCGAATCTTTATTCCGCCTTCTTCTTCTTCTTCTTCTATTTCTTCCGTTGCACCTTTCAACTCCTCCACACTTTCAGCTATTAAAACCGTTCACATTTTAAAATATTCAGCTCCTTTCTGGCTTTCTAGCTATGACTTTTGAGCTTTCTACCTTTTAAGCTTGGATTTATATGAATCAGTAATCATGAATATTTCTTCACATGGTTTTCCAATGGAGTTTGTTTTCAAATCCTCTTAAACTTCTTCAACTTTCAGATTTTTCAGCTCCGCCAATCTTTCAGCTACAGACACCATTTCAACTTTCAAATGTTGACACAAGTCTCAACTATTTCACGAAACAAACAGCTTGTTGATATCTATTCTACTTTTTTCATAATCACTGATTATGTTTCACTAGTTCTTCGCTCCGTTTCTGACTTTTACATGAGTGTGTATTGCGTCTGCTAGAGTGAGACCCGGAGATCAGAGTGTGAGGCAGCGTCAGAATCTGGTTAAAAAAATATGGAACTTCAGTCCTTGCAGCCAAAGTGTACACTCTAGAGGCTTCATTTCTTCAGATTAATGGGGACATGGCTGTGCTGATTGGATTAATGTGCTCATAGAATCCCAGAGTTCTTTAGTTTTGGCCTACGGAGACCAACGGTCACACAACCTCTGCTAAAAGCCCCATAGGCTCCAATACAAATCTGCCGACATATTTCTCAAAAAATCCAGAAGGTACACGTTTTGTAAACTTCAACAGGAGCCGTATTTATTAACGGACAGACATAAAAAACGCATCGATGCCTTCTCACTGTTAATCACTCTGTCCGTCTATTTCTCCCCCTCTCTCTCTTTCCCCCCCTCCCTTCCTGACCCTCTTTCTTTCTCCCCTCTCTCTCTCCCTTCCTCCCCTCTTTTCTTCCTTCCTTCCCCTCTCTCCCTTCCTTCCCTCCTTTTTCCATTCCTCCCCTCTTTCTTTCTGATGCTTTTTTCCAACCTCTTCTTTATTATTAATATTACTTTTAGATAATAGTTCATGGCTTAACTGATTTAATTAATTTTAAAAAACAGAAATGTTCTTTTCTCAGCCTGAACTATATCATGGTCCGGAGGAGAAGCATATCTTCCTAAATTAAATTAAATAAGAAGAGTATTATCCTTCTTCAGCTGTATTTTGTACATGTTTAGGTGTTTCACTGCTTTTACTGGCAATTGCTGCCGGTTGCTAGGCAACGGGAGAAGCGGAGGGGAAGCCGATGACGCAAACAGGAAGTCTTCACGTAGGACAGACGGATCTATTTCAGGGATCGCTCGGTTCAGCCTATGCGGTTGTTGGAGGACCCCGGCCACGTATTGAGACATAGCTACTGCTTCAGTTTGCTACCTGGGATGGTACTAGCCAGCATTGCACTAGCTAGCATTGTGCCATCTAGCATAGTGCTAGCTAATTTGCGCTAGCTGCCACTGGCTCATGCACATAATGTTACATAAACAGATGACTTGAGCTAATTAGTAAAGCAATTTATGTCTGTCCGTTTCTCTCTAATTCTCACATCTCGGAGATTTTGACCGGACCACCGAGTTTTTAGCCCGTCAGATGTTTTATGCTTTTTTCCGACCTCCTCTTTATTATGGGTGTGTACTGCACGGCTCAGAGCCTGTGACGTCATTGCCCGAGTGCTTGTCACCTCACGGTTTTGGATTTGACGCGCGCGAGTATCTGGGTTCGTGTTTTTGTTTGTTAGCCAATCGCTGTCAGCTCTGTACATTCTGTCCAATACAAATCTGTCATTCACTAGTTGCCGTGCAGGATGTGGATGTTTTTTGTTTGTTAAGTGAAATCCCTGACGTCTGACTCATTGAGGTTCAAGAGCTGAAAGAAGTTAGTGGATTTTCTTCAAATGTGATTATAATTAAAATTATATTAATAATATCTGACATAGTGTATATGTGTATTCGTATATCTATTCCCAGACAGCAATCCAACATTGAATAAACATTGTGCAAAATAAACGTTGAATCACCATTACCATATCGATGAAAACCTGATGTTATTAATGTTGATGGAAACAATATTGGAACAACATTGATCTATAGTTATCTTTATGATTGAAAGTGCAATCCCTGAATGTGTTCCCAGACAGCAAACAGTCATTGAAACAATGTTAAATCAACATTGCATTGTCAACATTAAGTCATTGAATCAACGTCGAATTCTGATGTTGATTCAACATCATTTTGCACCCTGATTTAATATTGAAACTGTCAAGTGTCTCACTTTTGTGAGGTTCAAACTGCAGCTCTCCACTTGAAAGGGCAACTTGCTAAGAAGTGTAGACTGGATTCCACTCAATGACCAAGATTCGGACTTCTTTGCTTTCTTGCTTTTTATTTTTAAAATTGTCCAGGTCAAACCAGGTGAAAAACCTTGAAATACAAACACTAATGGAAGGTCAAAGAAATATAACCCAAGAAACCATAATCAATTCACATACCTAACATCACATACTTAATTTATAATCTACTGGAAATTAACCTAAAAAATAAGTAGAAAGACAACCCAAATTTAAAGTATCCCAAGACTAAATTAAATACATTTTTAAAACACTATTTAATAATGATTTTAACCTTATAAACTTTAGCAGCTTTTAACTCCGCTGAATACACACAAATCAAGTTTTATCCAATTACTTTTAGCTTGAATACTTTTTAAAACACACATTAAATATATGGACATTTGATCTTGCATTTGATGCCATAAGTAGTCAGCCACTCAAAAGCTCACCGGCTCCTTCTTCAGTCTTTAGCTTTATTCCTGCAGTCTCCTCTTTCCAAGCTCTTCAATCTCGCTTTCTCACACTGCTCGCTCTTCACTGTCCTGTGAGTGAGTGCCTCCAACCCCCCTGATCGCCAGATCCTCTCCACCTGGTGCATTAAAATCTCCGCCTCCAGCCTGAGAGACACACCTAAACCTACCTCCCAGCCAGAGAGGGGCTCGGTCTGCAACTCAACTCAACAGAAACAATGTTGATATCCTGTCCATAGATCAACGGAATTTCAATGGTATTTCAATTTAAAGGAATATTGAAACACTGTTGAAATTTCAACTGAACTAAGGATCAACGTTATTTCAACGGAATTTCAATCGTTTTTAAATGTTAATTTTAAATGCCATAAATTAAATAGCCTGCTTTATCTACAGCTAGGATGTTAAGTAGGCTAATGGAACATTTGAAATCGGCCTATAAAACAATGAACACACCTTAGCCTTTTTATTTAACTATTTGTACTCTTTATTTACTCTTCAATGTCCTCTGACGCCTGATTATTTTGTCGTCCAGTCCCTCCTGTCCGGTCTGGCGCATAGCGCAGCCACTTTTGCACAGCTTGGGAAAAATTGAATTGGGTGACGGCATCTGCCCCCATCTGCTGAGTAAGCGCATCTAAAACAAAAAAATAAAATCACAATGCAAATCAATTAGCATTTAAGTTAAACAGAACACATATTTGACCACTTGGAACAACAGTAACCTCTTATAGGCCTATGATTTTTCAATGATTGGATAGCCTAAGTAGGCTAGCCTATGTTTCCCCTACATTCAAAGCACTTTTCAAAACTGCCCAACATGTTCATGGATGTATTTGAATTAAAGAGAGGGAAATTATCTTGCAACATCTTTCATAAGGAAAATTTAAGAGGCCAAGTGAAATGCATGTTTATTATTTTATTAGTTCAGAACTAATTGTTAACTGAACAAATTTAAAACAAATATATTATAACTAATTAAATATAGTAAATGTATTGAATAGAGTTACCATAGACAAAATATGAATATCATTATAATTAAATATTCATTTCTGCTTAAGTTAACTGGGTGCACGGAGGGATAGCAAGTGCTCGAGCGCATGTTTAGGCCTAGGCTACGTCTCTCTTTATGTTTTTAAGTCTATGTTCTCTGCAGTCTACTGCAAAAACAGGCAAAAATACTAATAATAAATAAGCGAGCCTATGTCTTTAAAATTAACGAGGCACTTTAATTATTTATTATAAACTGTTTTCATCTGCACTGTAAAGTTGATGCGCCTTTAATAAAGAGAGGAATGCATCTTTCTTAGTTTACATAATCAGATGATAGCCTATTTGCTTATGCTTTTTTTTTTTAAGTGGACATGTACATGCTTTAGGCCTATATAGCTATATTTCCCATGTAGGCTATGTTATGATAGTGCCTATACGCTGTTTCTGTTTATTCACGGGGCGCGCCCTCGTTGTTTTATTTCATTTAACCATTAAACTTAATTTTGCGCTCTGCACATACATACCGGTACGCAAGCCCCGCTCTCCTTAGTTACTGTTGCTACACCACGATTGGCCAGTGACTGTTTTTGGGCGTGGCTTAGCGGAGGGTCATTCGTTTCACGTGCGACCAGTTTGAAAACGAAAAAGGCAGCTGCTGACTGAGGCAATAAAGAGGATGCAGAAAAGTTGCCGCGTTTTTCAATGCGTTTAAAACGACAAACAAGCCAAAATAATTTGGTGTGCAGTTTTTTGTGCATTTGCATCTCGAGTTCAACCATTGCATTCGGGTTTTGACAAGGTTTTGGGCTGGAAAACCTTGCTGGCATCTGGCAACCATTCCGGATCGACATCTGACATTTCTTCACGACAAACCTTTCTGGCTACTAACCAAAGGTAAGTTACTGTTATACAAATGATATTGCTAACTCACTTGGACTGTAAGTTACCTGTGGTCTAGTTCCAAATTTCTCTAAATAATAATAATACAAACTCAAATGGTCAGCCAGGCAACGCATGCTCCAATTCCTGTCAGCACATAGCACGTTGCCTAACGTTACCTCACCATAGGGCAGCTGTTAACATAATGCTGCCTTATCGCTGGGTGGGTGGTAATTTATATGTTATTATAAGCCTACCTTTGGGATCAATATAGTATATGCTACACATTATTAACACGTGCACGCACAATTAGCCTAATGTTATTCATGAACTTGATAAATGTTGCAGATATGTTTTACTATTATTTTTGTACAAATAGAGAATTTGTGAATACAAATGTTTTCTTTTGTATTAGTGTATCATTATTTGCGCATGCAACAAGTAAGATGTGAATGTGTAGATCTACCTATTCCAGCTAGTGTGAGCCGACCCTGGGGTGCGTTTCCTGAAAGCATTGTTAGCCAACTATGGTCGCAAGTTCTGTCATTATCAGCCTAGTTCAACAATTCGGTGTTTCCTGAAACCATCGTTCTAATGAACATTCGCTAACAGCATCGCAAACTTGTGTGGAACTGAAGAAAGACCGGCATTACCATCTTGGATGGCATTGTAATTTATCAGGAAATTTTCATTTTGAGGTGAACTAATCCTTTTAACAATTATAAAACACTGTTACTGAAGTCACTGAATGCGGAGGTTTCTATTGGATTATTGTGTTAACTTTGTGCTAAGATTCTTGATGCTGCATGGGGTGAGTTTGGGTGTGCATTATGCCCTTTTTGGCTTGAGGTATAAGATTGATAATATAATGGTGATTGAAAATGGAACAGGACTTACCAAACATAGATCGGCAGAGTGCCAACTCTTTAAACGGACGTTTTTGTTTTGTAGGCTCCTTGTTCTTTTTTCCAGCCCAGTTCAGTCCAGAAGCCAGTTCATTTGACAACAGGTGTGCCATCATACGGCGGACCCTCACCTCCAATAGTGATGAGACGAGCGGTCTGGCAACAAAAATAACAAATTTGCAGCATTAACACATGCAGACTGGATTTACATTTGATCATGCCAATATATTCCTAGATCCAACGACGTTACATTCAGGTCTTTGAGAATGGGTTTCTCAAGCCAGGTGGCGCATTAGAACAGGGGCTCATCTCCTGTTTACAAAATGCGTCACAAACTGCTTGAGAAAGCTGTTCTACTCATAGACAGTAAAAGGTTTTACTACCGTACTGTTACCGTCCGTACTACATTAGGTAGACCTATGTTATTATCAACTAATATTAGGCTATCAATTAGAGATGGGCGATATGGCCTACAATCCATATTGCGATATACATTGCAGCCTCTTGCAATAACGATATATATCGCAATATAAATTATAATAAAACCATTTCAGAACAGGTTACACAGACCCTGCTAAACAACTGCTAAATGTATGTAAAAAAGAAAGGGTGTATGTAGTTTTGAAAACAAATATTGCGCAAAACGTAATTTTGCAGTTAAATAAAATGTAAGTACACTAGCTGCAGAGACTTAAGTAGGCCTAATGTTTATATTACGGCTTGGAGCATATGAAACCCCAAATTTAAAATGAGAATATTGTGAAAAGCTGTAAGCCATAATCATCAAAATTATAAGGCTCAAAATATATCACTTAGCGCCATGCCATAGACAGTAAAAAGTGCAAAATAGTTCAACCAAATGTAGTTTTAGTTAGCCTGTTTTCTTAATGTACACAAAACATGCAAAGAGCAGAAAAAACGATGTTTTTGCCATTTAAAAAGCAACACAACGATTCTTAAAATCAGGAGCAGACAGAGATTATATGCTAACAGTTAAACAACTAAGTTAGATTGTGAATAATACGTGCGCGCTGGTATTCAGTAATAGGTTTTGTTTTGAATTTGAGGTGGTAGAATAGATTAGTCGTGTTACCGAACTGTTGCTCCACACACTCTGTCTATAGTTTGCTGCTGCTCGTCCAAATAATAAAGTACAAATAATGGATGTTGCACCAATCTTTTTCGCCAGCTCCTTCGTTTGCTTTCAGCCATGTTTGATAACAACAAATATGAAGCAACGCATGTAGTATATGTAACTCCAGAGTAAAAAACACTCAGGGTCTTGGATTTCTTCATTCTGCTTTTGTCAAATACCCAGTGTTTCAATGATTGAACATCATTTTCAGCCAATTTGGTCTGGGCATAATTATTTGTTTTCAGTCTGAATGTAACTTGGATTGATAAAGGTGTACTGAAACAACAGCAGTTTTTAGGAGATATTGAAATGTGAAACGTGGAATTACTGAGATTAAGGTTCAATACAAATTAACCCATTAGTCTACTGTCATGACTGGCAGGCAGTTTAAGGAAGTTGTGCATATCAGTGAAGTTTTCTGAAAGAAGAATAATGTAACTATTAAACCACTACCATTGCCTGGCGGTTTGTGCTGTTTAGCAGTATCTCTTACGGTCCAGGGCCTCCATAGTGCGGAGGGGCAGCTCCAAGGGCTCCGCCAGTGGCCGTCCCACAGACTCCGACTGTCCACACTTGCAGGACTGGCGGAATTGCCTGAACTCCTCTCGCAGGTCCTTCACCTCCTTGGACAACTCTGTCACTGCAGTAAGAAGTTTTTGCATGGCCACATCTATTGACAAATAAAATTGTACACAAATTTCCGATGTTGAACAAAGAAATGTATCATAAAGATAAATTAAACCATTTGACTGGATATACTGCATTTGGTTTGAATTGACTGAATTGAATTATTTCTTTTTATAAGCATACCTTCAGGAGATGGCCTCTGGAGTAAATTCATGGGGGAGAACGCCAATTCATCTCCAGGGAACAATGCTGGGACATTGGGGTAAGAACACATGGGGGAATTGGGGCACTGGAGGGTTTGATGTATTCGTGGAGGTGGTGGTGGTTGGCTGTCCTGACTGGCTAGTTGGATTGCTGCTTTTTGTAAAGAAAAAAAAAGTAGGTGGGGGAGGTGGTTAGGGGCAGATGTGTGTAATGCCTAATTAGATTATCTATTTTTGTATACAAACACACACACACCACACTGTGGTTAACTATACCTGGAAGTAAAACTTTGGGGGCTTGGGCGAATCTCCGCTCATTCTGGGGCTCCTCATCGGAATGATACAATGGATTTGGTCTAAAAGAAAACAAGGGAGCAATGCACTTAAATGGTCAACTTGCGCATGTCAACAAATTGTTAAATTGCATATCAACGTCAAATGGTTGAAACCTTTTAAATGTTTGCTTTGGACAAAGGCATCTGCCAAATGTGTGCAACTGGAAATCAGACATTCATTATTACCTTCTTTTTCTTTTTAGGCCATGGTGGCTCTCCTCCTCAGACTGGATGTCAGTGGTGTCACAGTCTTTATTCACATATCTGTCCAGGCTCCTCACTGCCTCATCATGGCTATCTACAAGCATAATCAGTCAAGTACTGTCGGAGTCAGGAGAAATACTAGTGCTTCCCAATAAATTGTGGAAAAGTTCATTTATTTCAGGAATTCAACTTAAAATGTTAAACTAATATATTATATAGACTCATTGCATGCCAAGTGACATATTTCAAGCATATTTCAGATTCTTATACCAGAACACCCACCACGAGTTATGAGGAGCCGGATAGGTTGATATGTGTGCCATCCCTGTCCAGGCTGTTCTCTGTTCAGGATGGCTGCATTCAGCCTAATAGAGTCCTTAGGAGGGTATGGGGGCCAGAAGACTTTATCCCCTTCCACCCATGTGTTTGGCACAGTTTCTGTTGCACCATTGCTGAACTGCACAACGCACCATCTGGACATTTTTTAATTTTTTCAAAGACTCTAAAAAAAAAGAAATGTACTTATAAACTGATTTGGACATTTTAATTGGTGTGAATGATGGGAATGGCAATCAACTGTGTTTTGTCAGGATAAAGTATGTACTTTTTGCCAATGTGCTGAAGCCTCGTCACACCGACATACTTGCACAACCCCCAAACTGTATATACCCCAATGTTTGCCGAAGGAAAGGGATACTGGCCATAGGACTCTTTTTTGGTAAACTTTCGAAAAATTATGTAAGTCTCCTGACCTACCTTGACAATGTTTTCAACAATGGCAATGTCATCTACAATTTGAAAACAATTATCCCCAGAACAAGATGATAATGTGTACTTTTCTGTGACAAGCTTACGGTACTGGTCTCCACAACTTAATGAAGAGATTAATGGACCATCATAATGAGGATGCATGAATTTTTGTCCTTTCTTCACTGTGTCCAAGGTCGGATCAGGTGATTCTGAGAGCCTTTTAACTACTTGCTGTAAAGGCAAGTGAGGCTTGCGCAATAGGTGTTTCAGTTGCGCTAAATAATTCTCGTAAGGAAATGCAGATATGTTGTCTAAGGGACCAAACAGACGGTATTCTGATGCCAAGTGTGTTAGATGATGGACATTGTAGGTGATTTCACCTTTCCCATATAGCTGCCCAAAGTGAGTTACGAATGAAGTTAACAATCTCTGAGCGCAATCTATCATTTCCTCTGATGTTCCAGGAGACACCAGCAGATGCATGGCCACAGAAAGTAACATAAAGTTTTCATAAATTTCAAGGGCAATGGTATTTTTCAGGACTACTGGGCCAGCATAAAGCATGAAATATCGAAGCTCTGTAGCCTTCCACCGATCTATTTCAGAGAGGTGCCTGGGTTTCCGACTGAACTCAGAAGGAGTGTAGGGTCTTAAGTCCCTTCAATTTAACGGAAATCTCTTCAATTGATTTACTTGACAACCTAGTTGCCAGTGATTTGCCCCTCATCCAAATATATAGGAACTTCCTGGTTACCCCAAGACAGCACAAGTGCATGTAATCTAATGGGAACATTGTCACCATTTTGATCATACTAGCTAGTGGGGATAGTGTTTGGTTTTGGTGGTGTTCATCATCGGTCATGGAGTTGAAGTCTGTGTCTGTCCTCAATCTAACATTTGTTTCTGGATATGTCATTTTGTTGTGACATTCACCCACTTGAAAACACTTGTCGCAGCCTGAATAACCATTGTGGCTTTTTATATTTTTAATAAAAGCTCATGCTGGGGCATCGCATATAAATGAGCACACTTCTGCCATAATCTGCTGCCTATTGTGAACAATGCCATTTTTTAGAATGCCACTCAGGTCCTCAATAAATGGACCTAAGAACTCAAAGACACTCTTTGGTTTGGTAAAGCCACAGAAAAGGCCGACAAGGAATGGCGATTTTCTGTAATCAACATTAATGGTAGCTAGAATGGGCCAGAACTGAGTTCTGCTCCTTCGGAAAAGCCGTAAACCATCTATACTGAACTGCAGCTTAATTGTCGTCAAATTGGCAGGAAGGATCAAAGATTTCAGTTTTGACATCAATCCAGTAGCTAGGCCAAAGTGATAATAGTGATAATGCTGGCAGAAGCAGTGATAAGTTTATCACAACATCTTAACCATCTATGCTGGCCTAGTTAACCTGAAGAGTCCACTGATCAGAGTGCCTCGTGAGGTTTAGAGCCTTGCCAACACCTAGTCATCTTGTTCATTAAATACAGATAAACAAATACTGCATTTTATTTTCTTTTAATATATGAATATTTTCATTGTGATGTAATTGTGTGGGCTGCTTTTGTATTTTACTTTTTAATACCTGTTAGGAATAAAATTGACTTGATATTTAATTTCTGTGTATTTCCTGTAGACACAGAGGCACATCAATCTGACATGGGCTTGTGTGAAAAAGATTAACCTTAACATTAACATTAAAACAATTATTAAAAATATCCTGAACGTTCTTTTAACATTAATTTGGTTATTAACTGTTGACATTATTAGATTATAAAATGTATTTATAAACAATTATCTTGTGCAATTATAACAAAATTAGCCCAATATATTAACACATACACTGAGCAAACATGTACTTTTGTTTTTAGATATACAAAACGGTCATGTTTGTATGACATGACACAACCGGCTTTGTTGCTGTCAGATACTGAACTGCCTCGGAGGCTTTCAGACTGTCCATTGCTCGATTGCACGAAGTATGAGCAAATCTCGCTGTACGTAATGCTGGGCCACGATGTCATGTTATCCTCCCAGTTCTGCACTGGATTGGGGTGCGGGATAGTAACGCCATCTCAGTCAAATACGTAGATCCGTGTTCCCAAACTAGCATCGACATCGCTGTTTACACCGGCAGACGCTGGGAAAACCACCGGCAGAAGTGAAATGCATTTCTGTAGAGGAATGGCGCCCACGAAACGGCTCGTAAACTTGTCTATAAAACGACAAACAGGAGTTACAAAACTGTATCCCACGCATATGCAGCCCTGCTCGAGGATTTTTAATATTTTGGATTTGTATTACGACGAGATGGTTGGCTTTTCCAGTTACAACTCGAGACAGTTCTGCATTGAATAATAAGGTAAGTCATGTATTTTGTGTAATTCTGGCCCGCCGCGGTCACTTCTGTGGGGTAACGTTAACGTTAGAGCTCAAACATGCACGACATGACTTCGTGCCCTTGGTGGTGGCTACGTAGTGCTAATCAGCCATGATTTCTCAAAGGTTTGAGCGCACGGCGCCGCCAACAGGCTAGCTTGATGGACGTTACCGTTAGCGCTAGATGGAGCATACTGTTATTATAGTGTTTTCCGGCGGGCAGAAGAAATAGCGGTGACTGTAAAATAGATTTCCCGACACTATTAGCAATGGGTACCGAGTGACGTGTATTTTGAGCTAGCTATAAAAATAGACTGGACTCTGAGGTTTTGCTAACTGTAAAGAGAACCACGAAGTAGGCTAGCCTGCTTTTGGAAGATTTTAACACATTAGTAAAACAAAAATCTATTTCATGACTAACGTTAGCTGCAGCACTGCGTTGGTTACTAGACTAATCATTATACTACAACGATCAGCCTAACGGTATTTGATTCATTCATATCGAACATTAAGCAAGCTTACCTGTAGCTACGCTTGTGCCAAGGGTCCAGAAATGAGCTTGTGTCGTTGGTTTACCACCCGTTGATCTCCCGGTCAACCAAAAATCAATGGATTTTCAATCATATTTCCCGGTCAACTATACATCGATGCATTATCAACTATGTTGCTATCTCTCTCTCTCTCTCTCTCTCTCTCTCTCTCTCTCTCTCTCTCTCTCTCTCTCTCTCTCTCTCTATATATATATATATATATATATATATACATTTCTTAACCCTCCTGTTACCTTGAAATTTACTAACATCTTTTAACATTGACCCCAGCCATTGAAACACACAGAAAATGATCATAATTCAATTGTTTTTCCTACGTTTATGTATTAGGAAACTGCATATTTGTTGACTACCTAAATAGTGATTTTATTTTATTTTTTTAAGACACCCACCCCCTTAAACATCCAGGAATACCTGTTAAGCGACTATGGAGAAATATGCAGATCAGACTAAAATCTCTCTAGATCATTTTTTATGTTTTAATAGCTCAGTCCTTCAGCCATGTACCACGTACGTGGTATGTGGTGATGCCCAAAATGAGCAACCCAATGTAGGCTTGCAAGTCTAGTCAAGTCAAGTCTTTCCAACCTTCCCCGTATACACGCCTGCCCTCTAAATTTGTCATCCTACGTACATCCTTTTCAATCGATGGTGTTAAGAACAGCTCAAATGCTGATTTGATGTCATGGACATGGCTGACAGCATACCTGGTGGGACCTGGAACCATTTTGATCACATTAGGAGCACCAAGTCTACCCTGTTGTTCAGTTCAGGGGAGATGGACCATAATAACTTTCCATTTTTGGAAGGTAGATGGTTAGCTGGTGGTTGAGAGACAACAGTAGGTTCAACAGTGAGGGTCTCACTCTCATTAGACGGGGATGCCTCATGATCCAAGATGGCGCCGTTGAAGGCCGCCTCGGTGCTTCGGTGCGCTTCGTTTTTTGTTGTTTTTGTTGTTAATTACGTTTGCTGCTGCGATTCCCGGAGCTCTTTCACCAGAGATGAGCTCTTGAACAACTCCAGCGGAGTTACTTCCAACTTTCCTGCTTTCTTCCGTGGAATTACTGGACATTCTAGTCAAAGGTGCGCTCACCTTTCGTCACGCGGTGAGACGCCGTAGGCGAGGAAAACGGGCCGGCTCGCTGGTGAGACTCCGCAGGCGTGGTTCTCGCACTCCGCTGCCAGGCATCTTTCTCTCCAACGTGCGCTCACTGTGCAACAAACTGGACGAAATTCAGCTGCTGATGAGGAGAGACAGAGACTTCTCTACATCCTCCGTCTTGTGCTTCACGGAGACGTGGCTCTGCGGATCGATACCGGACTCCGCGCTCCAGCTGGCGGGCTTCCAGCTGCTCCGAGCGGACCGCGACACGGAGCTCTCCGGCAAGACAAAGGGTGGAGGAATCTGCTTCTACTTCAACAACAGCTGGTGCAACGACGTAACGGTGACCCTAAAACACTGTTCTCCTGATCTGGAAACTTTCTTCATCAACTGCAAACCCTTTTATTCCCCCCGTGAGTTCGCTTCATTCATCCTGGTCGGTGTTTACATGCCGCCGGCGGGCAACGTGCACGAGGCACAGCGGACACTCGCCGACCAGATACGGCGTGTGGAGCGGACCAACCCGGACTCTTTAGTTATTGTCCTCTGGGACTTTAACAAAGGAAATCTCACCCATGAACTACCTAAATACGACAGTTTATTAAATGCCCCACCAGAGAGGAGAACACGCTGGATCACTGTTACATGACAGTAAGCAGGGCTTATCACGCCGTCCCTCGTGCTGCACTGGGACACTCTGACCACGTCATGGTCCATCTGATTCCTGCATACAGGCAGAAACGAAAGCTCTGCAAACCTGTGGTGAGGGAATTCAAGAAGTGGACCAGTGAGGCGCTGGAGGATCTTTGGGCGTGCTTTGACTGCACAGACTGGGATGGTTTCAGGACTGCTACTGACAGTCTGGATGAGTTCACAGAGGCTGTAACTTCCCACATCGGCTTCTGTGAGGACAGCTGTGTACCATCATGCACCAGGATGAGTTACAACAATGACAAACCCTGGTTCACAGCGGAACTCAGAACACTACGCCTGCAGAAGGATCAGGCATTTAGGAGTGGGGACAAAGACTTGTACACAGGCAAAATACAAGTTTAGCAAGGCGGTGAGAGATGCTAAACGACATCTCTCCCATCTCTCCCCGCCTTGCTAAATGACTGTACTCTGAGAAACTCCAACAACAGTTCTCAGCAAGTGACCCTGCTTCGGTCTGGAGAGGCCTCAATCAACTCACTAACTACAAGCCAAAATCCCCCCACTCCATGAATGACCTCCGCCTGGCAGACAAGCTGAATGAGTTCTACTGCAGATTCGAAAGACAATGTCCTGATTCCATCCCGCACAGCTCCACCAACCTGCTGCAGTCCCCCTCGCCTCCCTCCCCCAACCCATCAGGTGCTCACGCCTCTTCATCTATATCACCTTCCCCTCCTTCACCAGCAACGACCCTCTCTATTCTGGAGAGAGACGTTAACCGGCTCTTTAAAAGACAAAATCCCCGTAAGGCAGCCGGTCCGGACTCCGTCTCCCCTCACACCCTGAAGCATTGTGCTGACCAGCTGTCTCCGGTGTTCACTGACATCTTCAACACCTCCCTAGAGACATGCCATGTACCAGCCTGCTTCAAGGCCTCCACCATCATCCCTGTCCCCAAGAAGCCCAGGATCACAGGACTCAATGACTACAGGCCCGTCGCTCTGACCTCAGTAGTCATGAAGTCTTTTGAACGGCTAGTCCTGACCCACCTGAAGTCCCTCACTGACCCCCTCCTGCACCCCCTGCAGTTCGCCTACAGAGCCAACAGGTCTGTGGACGATGCTGTCAACATGGCCCTCCACTACATCCTCCAGCATCTGGACTCCCCAGGAACCTACGCCAGGATCCTGTTTGTGGACTTCAGCTCTGCCTTCAACACCATCATCCCGTCTCTGCTGCAGGATAAACTCTCCCAGCTGCACGTGCCCGACTCCACCTGCAAGTGGATCACAGACTGTCCTGTCTGACAGGAAGCAGCACGTGAAGCTGGGGAAACATGTCTCAGCCTCTCGGACCATCAGCACCGGTTCCCCTCAAGGCTGCGTTCTTTCCCCTCTGCTCTTCTCCCTGGACACCAACAGCTGCACCTCCAGTCACCAGTCCATCAAGCTCCTGAAGTTTGCGGATGACACCACCCTCATTGGACTAATCTCTGGTGGTGATGAGTCCGCCTACAGGTGGGAGTCTGACCATCTGGTGTCGTGGTGCAGTCAGAACAACCTGGAGCTCAACGCTCTAAAGACAGTGGAGATGGTTGTGGATTTCCAGCGGAACAGAGCCCCACCCTCCCCCATCACCCTGTGTGACTCCCCCGTCACTATTGTGGATTCCTTCACCCAGGACCTCAAGTGGGAGCTGAACATCAGCTCCATCACAAAGAAGGCTCAGCAGAGGTTGTTCTTCCTGAGGCAGCTGAAGAAATTCAACCCGCCAAAGACGATGATGATCCACTTCTACACGGCCATCATCGAATCCATCTTCTGCTCTCCATCACCGTCTGGTACGCAAGGACAAGGGCAGGCTGCAGCGTGTCATCCGCTCTGCAGAGAGGTTGATCGGCTGCAATCTGCCGTCCCTGCAGGACTTG